TTTGATGGTATTTTCAGGCAAAAAGCATGGACTATAGCCCACGGATTTGATCGATTGTGGGCCATTTTCACACCTGTTTTGTTTCGATGATAAATTTATTTCTTGAAAATGGGTAATTTTGGGGGATTTTTGTGAAAATGCATGGACTAAAGACCATGGTTTTGATTCATTTTTATTTTCCTTTTTAACATTTCTTTATATTGACTAGCTTCTCTACACTTTGTACATATAACAAAACATAATACTTACATTCTTTAACATAATTTTAATAAATAGGACTGTAGTTCTTGAATAAATTAAACAGATTTAAAGGGACACGTCCCATTTACTCTGAAACTGACTCTTTAGAAACCCTTTAGTTCCATTGTAGTCTAGCTTCTATTTAGTGATGGAGTATTAATTCAGACTGTAATCATCTGTATTATCAGCCCTTTCTTTCTCTAGTAAGTCTTGCATGTCTTCATCCAAGTGTGCACACAATTCATCCATAATAACATCTAAGGCCTGTTAAGATAGAATAAACAGTCACTCTGAGTAGTAACATAGATAATTTGATCATAATTCTATCATGAGTGAATTCATGAAAGGGTGAGATGAAGTAAGCTGTATTTAGAATTACATTTTTGAAAAGAAACACCCAACAAAATGGTGCCTGCAACCACCTCATCCTCAGACCCCTTCCCCTCCCTCCTACGAAAATGCACCATGTATTGCATTTGAAAAGAAACCCTTTCCCCTTCCCAACAAAAATGCACCATGTATCACGTTTGACAAGAAACCCTTCCCCCCCCCCCCCACAAAAATGCACCATATATGATGCTTGACAAAAAAATGCTACCCCTCYCCCTGGAAGAAGCTATCCAAACAGCTTACCATATCTGTATACAACTTCTGATGATATTCTTTTAGAACATAGTTTGATAGCGTATCGTCACTGCTTCTGTCAACCAGCATATATTGGTGCAGCAAGACTCCACACACCAGACCTAGGGTTTAAATAATTCTTATGAGGATAACTTTAGAAATAGAATTATTTATAAGAAAAACTAGTGACAAAAAGTTAAATGAATGTTCCTTCATTCCATGACCGAGTTAGATATTTTCCCATTTGCCAGAACACCTGACTATTCTACACGACACAGAGGCTAACCCTGAGCAACAGACAATTCAAAAGTGGATTATTTAGGAATTCCACTGTTTAATGGATACAGTGGAGAGCATTATAGCAATGTATTGCTTACCATCCATAGTTTGTTCCATGTAGTCTCTAAAGTACAGAGATAAGTTATTGCCTGCCAAGTGACTCAGGAGATGCTCAAGAAACAGACTATCAAGTACTCTGCCTTCTGCATATTTACCAATCTGCAAGTAAAACGTTTTAGTTAACACCCTTGAGTTTTCCAATACCCTGAAGCAATCTCTAGGCTACAGTAATGCAAGTCAGGGCATGGCTATTTCACAGGTCGAACCCTGAAACAACCACTGGGCTGATCTGAGTCAGGGTATGGTTATCTCACAGGTCGAAACCCTGAAACAACCACTGGGCCGATCTAAGTCAGGGCATGGCTAACTAACAGATTGAACCCTGAAATAACCTCTGGGCTGATCTAAATCAGGGCACGGCTAACTCACAGATAACTCACAGATAGAACCCTGAAACAACCTCTGGGCTGATCAAAGTCAGGGCATAACTATTGAATTGGAATTCAGTGTGTTAGGTTATTTTGAGGCAGAAATTGGAGAACCTGGAAAAAAATCCTTGAATCAAGGGTGGAGGCCCAACATATTCTACTCACATATGATACCAAGTCCAGTAAATGAACCTGAGACAACAGAGGTGAGAGACCAGATATTCATTAGGAATATAAGAACATAAGCTTACCCCAAGGATCTGTACATCACGATGGGAATCAATCACTTCTTTCCAGGCTTCAACGATAACTGGCTTCATCTGATCATCAGTCACTTCTTCAATGATCTCTTCAACAGTTGCTTCATATTTGTATCCTTCAAGTGCTGTAGATGCCTGGAAATAAAAGATATGAGAATCTTGATTCATGAACTAATCCCCCTGGAGTAAGGCCAAACAAAAAAAAGTGTGTTTTCTGTTGCATGAGAAAAATAATTGGGGTCAGTAGGTCGGATTTTTAAAATTTATCTTATTTATTTTATTGATACAACAGTGGAACTGGGAACCCTGTGGTACATTTGGAAATGAAAAAAAATATTATGGTCGGCAAAAATCAGCCTCCCCTGTGCAGACCTTAGATCCCCCCTCCTCGTTTAACTCTCTTTTTGGGAATTAATGGATATGTTTTTGGAACTACAAAATATACCCTCCTCAGACCCTCCCCACCCCTTGGGAATTCTAATCCCCCTCCATGGGGAGGTATGGATATTTTCTAGAACTACATAATATACTCTCCTAAGACCCTCCCCACCCCTTGGAAATTCTAATCCCCCTTCATGGGGGAGGTAGGGATATTTCCTACACCTTGGAAGGATCTCAACTTTGTCTAATAACCAAACTTACCACATTACTCATCATTGGTTGGATAGTTTCTAATATTAAACCTTCTAGCCAATCATCACTCTTGATCATTGTCATGTGACTGTTGACAAGTGATTTGACAGTTAATGGTACCAACTCAACAGCCATCTCATCGACAACTTCATCAATCAGTTCTCGGCAGACTTGAACAAGAGGGTCATTGGCACTGATGTTTTCTCTGGTGTTTGAAATAGATCACATAAATTATAATCCAAAAATAATATCAAAATAAGTATTGTAATAGTGAAAGGGGGTAGCCTTTCTGAAAGTAAATGAATGTGCATTATAATCCAACTGGCATGCATAAAACAGGCATAGATTTATGACCAACCATCACTCTCTGAACAGGTCTCTTCCTCACACACTAACATAACTCAACACTCAACTCACACATCAATTCTTACTGAGGCCCTCACTGAATTACATAACTTTATATCTTGTATATGTAGTTCAGGTGAGAATCAAACTTGCGGCCTGCAGCCAAGGACAAGAACTATACAGTGGTGACAGACAGTGCTGTAGCAGCACATACCACCCATGCCACCCAAAGACTGAGTTTGCTCTGCTAAACTTACAGTTGCATTTGAGAATAGAAGACACTGGCAGCAATTTGATCAAGAAACATGGACACATCTTTGTCAATCACATCAGCACAGATGCTGCTTGATATTCTATAGAGAGGGTCATGGGGTGACTGAAAAAAATGGAAAAATAGAAATGAATAATAAATAATTGGAATAAGGAAATATGGGACAGGAAAACCTTTTTTAAAAACATTTAATTTTTATTAAATTCTCAAACAACCTCTGGGCTGATGTAAGTCAGGGCATGGCTAACTCACAGAT